AGATTTGGTTACACAGAAAGTACTGCTGGACTTTGTTCAAGGTTGCAGGAAAGTTACTTATAGACTCAAAAGAAAAAAAAAAAAAAAGGTTTGTGAATGAACATGCAACAGTAATCTACCTGGAAGGTGTTCTTAAGAACCAATTGAGTATCAAATGTTAGGAGAATATACCATATACCATGACACCATATTTAGGAGGCAGTTAAGTTAACTGAAAAATAATTAACAGCAATTAAGGTGTGTTGGGGAGGGGAATCATAGCATGAGTCATACAGATAAATGTAAAAACCCACCCTGAAGGTAGAAAATTACAGGTGATTTACTTTTGTGGTCATGTAGGTACACAAAATTATTTTCTTGAACACCGAGAGAGCACTGATTCCTAACCATCAGATCATTAGAGAGCAAAGGCTTTCTGATAGTGAAACACAAGATATCGTTTAAGGGATCTTTCACTATCCTTAATACTTTATAAAAAAAATTTGTAATCAACTTAAATTACAGTAGTAAGTTGGACCAGTTAGTGAATGAAGTCCAAGCCCACATATGCGTTCAAACTGTGGGGCCAATTCCATCGAAGAATTCAATGATGGATTCTTTCTTTTTAAGACTGAACAAAAACACAGAACCACCTTCTGACTGCTGAGAAAGACTAAAATCATTTCTTGACTAAAATTAATTACTTGCTGTGGGCAGTGGTACATATTTATAATCTCAGCAACTCTGGAGGCCAGAGAAAGAGGATCACAATTTGAAGGCCAGCCTGGGCAACTGAACAATACTTAGTGTCAAAATTTTAAAAAGGGGAAAATAAAAGGCTGAGGCTATATAGCTCAGTAATACAGCACCTGCCTGCCACAGGGCTCTGAGTTCAATCCCCAGTATGGGGGGGCACAGGGTGGTGACCTTTACTCTCTGCTCTCATCCAACACAATCAACAACACTGCTCCCCTTCCCCTCTCCATCAAAGAATGCTCTAGAATATCTAGCACTTTAATCACAGACTGTAAGAATCTGAGATTGCATCAAAACTGTAACGCAGCAGCAGCTTTTTTTAAAGTACAGTCTCATTCTCCATGGTGTTCCTAAACTAAATCAGCCCCTGTCAAGAATTAACAATCAAGAAAATTGGAGCTGGGTGTGGTGGCACACACCTGTAACAGGAGCACTCATGAGGCTGAGGCAAGAGGACCATTGTGAGTTCAAGGGCAGCCCGCACTACATAGTGAGATTCTGTCTCAAAAAAAATAAAGAGGAAAAAAAAAAGAAAATTGGAAAATTCTCAGAACAGAAATTAAAAGCTGCTTTAAAAATTATTATTGTTCTTGGACTCCAAAATTCAGGATATATAATACCAGGAAAGTGCTTTTCTGTTAGTGCCTGAATTTAAATACAAATTATTATTTACTCATTTGCAATTTCTTTCTGAGCACATATATAATATTAACCAGTCACCAAATGTTTTCAAAAATATAACTGGCCATGTTTACCTAAAAGTTTATTTCCTAATCACCAAGAGGTTTTAGTATTTAAAAAAAGTGGTTGCCAGTGTGGAAATCAGTGTGGAGATTTCTCAAAACACTAGGACTAGAAGTTCCATTTGACCCAGCCATTCTCCTCCTGGGTATCTTCCCCCAAAAAATTAAAAGCATCATATCACAGTGATATATGCACAACTATGTTTATAGTGGCACAAATGTTGGAAACAGCCCAAATGCCCCTCAACTGGTGAGTGGATAAAGAAGCTGTGGGGTTTTTTTATACAATGGAGTACTACTCTGCCATAAAAGATATGCTTGAGAGGTTTCTAGGAAAAAGGACGCACCTTGAGTCCATACTCTTAAGTGAAATAAACCGGACACACATGTGTAAATACTGCATTGTTTCTCTGGTGTGAGAAACCAAAAGTATAAATAAGGATCAAAATGTGTAATAGGTATTGAGAAATATGAGGAAAATGTTTAAACGGGAAGGGGAACAAAGGAGGGGTAAGAAGGGAAGGAAAGACGGGAAAAGTTAAAAAAACAAAGAAAAAATGTGGAAACAAAGCTTTGTAAATGGGGAGGGGGGAGGGGTTGAAGAAGGACGGGGAATGTGGAAAAAAACAAATTATATTATGTACACATATAAATTCTACACAATGAATATGATTGTCATATATATCTAAAATATACCAATAAAATCTGACTTTAAGAAAAGTGGTTGCCAGCTGGGCATGGTGGCGCATGCCTGTGATCCCAGCACTCGGGAGGCTGAGGCAGGAGGATCATTGTGAGCTGGAGACCACAGTGAGCTCAAGGCCAGCCTGAACTGCATAGCAAGACCCTGTCTCCAAATAAAAAAGAAAAAGAAAACTGGCTGCCATTGATGCTACATGAGGTAGTCTGAGAGAGATGAGCTGTTCTGAAGACTGGAAATGTCTAGTGACCTCAAAAGAAGTAAAACAAGAGGACATACAGTATCTGTAGATGTTTAAATAATAAAACTACTTCAGGGGCAGGGGATATAGCTCAGCGGCACAAGTACCTGCCTGGCAAGTGCGAGGTCCTGAGTTTAATTCCTGATATAATAATAATAATAATAATAGGGCCAGGGATATAGCTCAGAGGCACAAACACCTGCCTGGCAAGCTCAAGATCCTGAGTTTGATTTCCGGCAGCAAAAAAATAAATAAATAAAAAAGCGTCTGCCTGGCAAGCACAAGGTCCTGAGTTCAACTCCCGGTACCCCCACAAAATAATAATAACAAAACTACTTCAACATAAAAAATTCAGAGCCAATGACCTGTAAACTATAAAGCTATCTATTTCTTATGAATATTTAAAAAAAGAAAATAGGAAGATCACTAGGTCTACATCCAAATCAACACAGGAAATTGTTCTGCAATTCATTTTTTCAAGACCCCAAAACTTTAAAAGGTTTCTCAGCCCCGCTGTGGTGGCACACACCTGCAATCCCAGCACTCAGGAGGCAGGAGGCCAGCCTGGGCTACATAAAGAGTTCAAGGCCAGCCTAAACTACACAGTGAGATCCTGTCTCAAAAAACAAAAAAAAAGTTATTGGGGTTTATCAACATCATTTAAGTTCCAAAATAATGGGCTGGGGATACAGCTCAGTGGCACAGGGCTTGCCTGGTAAGCACAGGGTCCTGAGCTGGATTCCCAGTACCATAGGAAAAAAAAAGTTCCAAAATAATACAACTGAATTAAAGGACAATTGGCATAAAATTCCAGCTCTACTAGCAGGAAGACACACAACACAAAATAGGAGAAAACACTTGGAGAGTCTACTTTGTGGCAGGCTGTTCTAGGGACCTCATATTTTAAATATGAGCATGATGTAAGGCCTGATAACATCCCTATAAGGCAAGTATCTCTATTTTACAGATGGAGAAACCGAGAAACAGATTAAGTCACCCAATGTCATGCAGCTAGTAAGAGGCAGAGAAGACATTTTTTTAATCCTTTGGAGTATAACTCCAAAGTTCATGTTAACCAATACACTATCTTACAGTAGGGGTTATACAATGGTCACCTTTTTCTTTAACCTGTAACTTCTTTGGCTTCCAAACATTTTAGAACAGCATCAAGCAGTAAGAAAAACACAAGCAGGCAGGTCTGGATAGATGCAGTGGTAGACACATGGGAAGGATGTGGGAGGCCCGGTTTCTCTGGACTCTATCCCACAGTGCTAATCCCCCTCCCCGCAAAAATAGCACAAGCTTGGGATCAAACAGATACCTGAACAAAGTCTAGGCTCAGCATCCCCATACACAAAATGAAGGTACTTAAGTTACTGTGAAAATCAAAGAAAGCCCGTTGTTATGCCTCATGCCTGCAATCACAGTACTCTAGGAAGCTGAGACAGGAGGACTGCAAGTTACAGCCTACCCTGGGTATCTTACTACGACGATCTTATAAAATAAGATCTTATAAAATAAAACACATAAAAAAGGTTTGGAGTGTGAAGGGCTCAGTGTGAAAGCCCTGGGTTCAATTTCCAGTACTGGGGAGAAACACAAAGTCAAAGAAGATAATATAAAGTGCCAAGTCCAGTCAGTACAGAGGACTGGGGGTTCTGTGTTTTGTTTCCTGTTTTTAGACGGGCTCCCTGTGTAGTCCAGGATGGTCCTGGCATGGCCTTCAACTTGCCACGTAGCCCAGGTGGGTTCGAACTTTCGGCGATCCTCCTGCCTCTGCCTCCCAAGCGCAGGGATTACAGGCGCACGCCTGTAGGATATGGGGTTCTTCAGGTGAAGTTTGCAGTCACCCGAAGGGTCCACAGATGGGCTGCTCAGCGCACAAATCTTACACACTGTATGACTGCGTATACATGCCCCATTTTTAAGGAATTGTCCCCGGCTTTGCACAAACTTTCAAGGGAGTACGAACGACCTGCAAAAGGTTAAGAACTACTACCTAACATAGCCGGTACTAAAAAGGATTATGAGAATAATAACAACAATAATAATAATACAGCTCTCTT